AACGCCAAAGTAGAGAGGGGTGTAGTTGTCATCTAGGCTTCCGTCGAAGTCGTCGAAGTCGTCGAAGTCGTTGTAGCGAGAACTAAATTCGTCGTACTCCACGATGTCAGTAGGACGTGAGTCGACGGTGGGAGAGCTGTTGTAGTCATCCAGCTGATCCGTCGAAACCGTGCCGAGTGGTTGGAGGATGACGCCGACTTCCCTGAAGCTAGGCGAAATCGGTGTTGAAGCCGACTTCCGCCTAGGCCTACGGGATGAAGGCGCTGTCGTGGTGAAGACGGCCGCTAAATCGTCGGGGAGCTTCATCAGGACCGGTGGGTAAGCCCCATCATCCTGATCTGGTATCGTTGGAGAAGATGCGATCTCGGCCGAGTGGTTTGAAGCCGACTCGGTTGAGGTGGTCTTGAAATAGCTTTCAGCCGCGTTCGGGAATCCAAACGGGACCGAAAGCCGGTTCTCTCCCGACTGGTCTGATTCCGAGTCGAGGAGAGAAATCTTGCCGAAGTTGTTGGTGATGAAGTCGAGGCTGCCGAACCGAAACGTCTGCCCGGGTGGGAAGACGAGGTCGTCGATGCCGGAGATGGAACCCATTGCACTGATCGGCGAAAAAGCTTGACGCTACCCCTACCTGGCGCGCCAACTGTCGAAACTAGATTTCGGCAATAATAAAAGGGGGTGGCTATCAAGCTAGGAAAGTGTATGGGTTTGGAAACAAAGGATTTATACAGGTTCAGGCCTTCTTATAAAAGAAGTAATACCCTACTCCTGTCCGGGGATGAATCCGCCGAGTGTATTATTGATTGTATGATTCGGGAAAAAATCAGCATATGCCCCTAGAGGCGCCCGGACCCCCCTTATATATGGGAAGGAGTCCGGATTACAAAAGATAATCTATATTCCTAACGGAATATGAAGATACAGATAAAATACAGTCGTAACCGACTAAGTCTCTGGGTGTTTCCTTGATACACAAGTTAAGAAACAAACCCGAGATACAGATAAGATATTCTATCTACATTAGGTATCCTGTACCCAGTTCGAATACCATCGCCGTGTAGATATGGGATACCCATAATCTCCACACTATCATACAGGACCGCGGCATAGGCGGCTCCCTCATCCGTCTCATCTTCCATGATTGTTTTGTCAGGGTATATTTTGTTTCTTCCTCCGTTTAATAATGTAAGTCATTCTATCATTTCTCACATTCATATTAATGTTAATGAATCTAGATATATACATTTCCTATCTAGATTCATTAACATCAATATGAATATGGGAAATGATAGAATGACTTACATTGTGTAACGGAGTGAGTACATATCGGTACTTCATCTATTTCATATTATAAATTGTTTCGGGTTTTAAATGGATTTATGAGTGAATTCATTTATATTACCTCTATTTCTCATTATAAGTCATTCTATTTTTTTTCCTAGTCAAACTTTCAATTTATAGAAAAATATAGTAACTTTTTCAGCACAAAGAAAATATTATATTATCAAAATGTATTAAATGTTAATCTTAATGATATTAATTTGGTGTTGTAAATGTTGCTAAAATTTTTCATAAACTTAATCAAACTTAAAAAGGTTTGAAAAAAAATTAAAATGAGTTATAATACTCTCTCCATCATATTCCAAATCTAAAAAATTTACTTTTGATAGGCATATTTCAATCCAACCACCTATTCTTTTAATGACTTTCTTGGATTTCATGGGGGTGGCTAATTGGCGCGCGCCCGCCTGTTGGCCCCGGCCCGGAAGCCCATCAGGCTTCTTTTTTTCTTTTTTTTCGCAAGATTTTTTTGCGATTTTTTTGCCTTTTTCTTTTATCTTTTTTTTCGCTTTTGTCTTATTACTTTTTTAATCTTTAGCACACATATTTTTTCAAAAAATGTTTTGAGTTGAAAATTTTTAAATCTTTAACTTGAAAATTTTAAATTTTGATTTGAAAGTTATCAAATCTTAAGTTGAAAGTTTTCGAATCTGAGTTGAAAGTTTTTAATCTCAAGTTGAAAACTTTTAAATCTGAGTTGAAAGTTTTCAAATCAGAGTTGAAAGTTTTCAAGTCGAAGTTGAAAGTTTTCAAATCAGAGTTGAAAGTTTTCAAATCTGGGTTGAAAATTTTTCAAATTTAAGATGAAAAGTTGAAAGTTCCAAAATTTGACTTTAAAAAATTTAAATTTTGAGTTAAAAGTTTTTAAATCTGGGTTGAAAATTTTCAAATCTAGATTGAAAGTTTCAAATTTTGAGTGGAAAGTTTTTAAATTTGAGATGAAAGTTTTCAAATATGGATTGAAAACGTTTCAAATTTGAATTGAAAGTATTCAAATATCAGTTAAAAGTTTAAAATTTTGAGTTCAAAGTAATAACACAAAAATAGAAAATAACTAAAAAAACAAAACGTGAAAAAAAAGGGAAAAAGATGCGGGCCTAACAGAAAAAACACAAACGACGAGTCCTTTCTCGATAAAAAAAGTGCGCGCTATTTGCTTAACTCGCGCAGATTTTCCGGAATTTAATGCGTGACTCTCCATTCTTCCACACAATATTGGCTATATAGGCATCGAGAAATGTAAATATATTAATAAATCGCTTGTTTACGAGAAATAACTAGTAGCATATTTAAATGGATGATAAGTAAAATTACTTATCTTTGATCGGTGTGTCAAGATGAAATATAAAAAGTAGATGAAGGGAGTACGAAACAGAGGACCAAAACAACTTATATAGTGAAAAGGAGTAGTAGTTTTGAAGCACTAAGGAGGTACTAGTAGCTTTGAAGCACTTGGGACTAATGAGTGGTTGCACAATGCATGCATGCATGCATGAGTATTGCAGGGTTGCGATGGTTCCGTCCTCCTTAACGCGTCCGACGAGAACCCTCGTCCTGAGACGGCAGCGCCGGTGAGCATCGGGCTGGAAGGATTCGACATCCTGGAGGAGATCAAGGCCGATCTCGAGAGGAGGTGCCCCGGCGTGGTCTCCTGCGCCGACATCCTCATCTTCGCCGCCCGCGACGCCAGCAGCATCCTCAGCAACGGCCGCGTCCGCTTCGACGTCCCCGCGGGCCGCCTCGACGGCGTCGTCTCCTCCGCCTACGAGGCCCAGGCGGAGCTCCCGGATCCCACCTTCACCATCCGGCAGCTCATCGACAACTTCGCCCGCAAGAACTTCACCGTCGAGGAGCTCGTCGTCCTCTCCGGCGCGCACTCCGTCGGCGACGGCCACTGCTCCTCCTTCACCGCCCGCCTCGCCGCGCCGCCCGACCAGATCACCCCGTCCTACCGCAACCTGCTCAACTACAGGTGCTCCCGCGGCGGCGGCGCCGACCCTGCGGTGGTGAACAACGCCCGCGACGAGGACCTCGCCACCGTGGCGAGGTTCATGCCGGCGTTCGTCGGCAAGCTGCGGCCGGTCAGCGCCCTGGACAACACCTACTACCGCAACAACCTCGACAAGGTGGTCAACTTCAACTCGGACTGGCAGCTGCTGACGCAGGACGAGGCGCGCGGCCACGTCCGCGAGTACGCCGACAACGCCGCCCTCTGGGACCACGACTTCGCCGCCTCGCTGCTCAAGCTCAGCAAGCTGCCCATGCCGGTGGGGAGCAAGGGGGAGATCAGGAACAAGTGCGGCGCCATCAACCACAGCAAGAGCTAATTCGGCCACTTATGCAGGGGGTTACGTACATGCATGCAGACGATGTGGTCGTAGCCATATGTTTTCTTGTTATATCTCATCGTTCTAAAATACAGAAAACCTTGTACTCGGAAAAAAAAGACTACTCCAGTATAATATAAAGTATTTGTATTTGTGGTTATCCATATATTTACCTGTTATGAATTGTTACTACCTTTGTCCCTGATTTTGCATCTGTTAGTGCATAGACTAAATCCCATACATATTTAGTACTCGTGGATTGTCATGTAACTGGGCTGAATCGGTATACATATTGAGCCCATGGCTAGCTAGGCTCAATCCGCTGCGATAAGCCAATCATTCAAGCCGTTACAAAAGGAGCAGATCCAACAGATGGGGGGATCGAACAAAATAGATGAAACCTGAGTTCTTCCTTCCGATGCTCTCTCTTCTTCAACCTCTGTATCTCTCTTCTCTTCAATCCCTGGCTATCTCTTCTTCTCCAATCTACTGCTAATTCTCAGTCTTGATTCCATTTCTCCCATTTGTATCCCAAATACTCGTGTATCAAGTGTTGGAGGAAGAATTGTGTGCTTGTGCTGGAATTCACTAAATCACATAGAGTGTTATTTGCGGCACCCGCACTGGCCCCTGGGCCATGCGTCGCGTACGTTTGGCTAGTGAACAACGTGCGAGCTTGGATTGGATGGGGAACTGCGGGCGCGCTAGCCGTTACACGATCGAAGGGTATCAGAATCCAAAATTAGTGACCGAGGGTGGGAATTACGATGCACAATCACCCGACCGGTATCAACGACGACAGGGACGAGGCCGACGCGACGCACACGACGGCTGGGGACGAAGCGCGGGCTGCATGTCTCGTGTAGCCTCGTCGTGGCGATCGAGCGGTGCACGCCTCTCAGTGGCGCAACGACTATCTTTGACGCGGCGTCTCTTCGTTCGAAATCGTTACGACGCCACGCTTCTAGTTACAGTTTTACAACGTGATATTACTACCACGACGATGGCTCAGCGGCGAAAGGTTAAAACACGTTGCTAAATAGAGGTCGCGGCAACGGGTGGGAAAGCCATGTAATCAACGTGACGTCTCCAGTTTACCGAGGTACGAGTACCTTCCAGGTCAACTCTGCTCCCCTCTCCATCTGTCACTAATCACTTCACCCCGGCACGCACATCCACCATCGATCCACGTATATAAATCACCGTCACGCCTAGCTCCTGCTTTAATTTGCTGCACCACTACACTACTACTCCTACACACTGCATCGATCAACACCGACGCATCGGTCAGTTTCACTGCGATCGTCAAAGCTACACACGGTATAGCAGTGAAAGATGTGCAGCGCAGCACGCGGTGTTCGTCGTCACGGCTCGCCGGTGATCATAGCGTGGGCGATCCTGTTCTTCTCCATTGCGTCGTTGTCCTTGTCGGAGGCGCAGCTGCAGGTCGGATACTACAACTATACTTGCCCCAGGGCGGAGGACCTCGTCCGCAACGTCGTCCGCGCCGCCATCCTCCGCGACCCCGGCAATGGCCCCGGCCTCGTCCGTCTCTTCTTCCACGACTGCTTCGTCAGGAAGAAAAACATTGTCAAACTTCAACAAATTATCCCTCTTCTTCCACCTTGTCAAGATCAGCAAGAAAAACATTGTCAAACTCAAATTCTGCTACATATTCCCTAAACTTGAAATTATCAGTTCATTAAAAAAAACAATTTATGTGCAGTGAACAACCAATGTAAGACGTACGAACAAATGTTGAAGACAGATCTATCTTTCTATTCACTTATACTAGCAATCATTTTGTAGCTACCAATTAATAATTGCAGGGTGAAGAACATTGTTCTCCAACCAAAAAGGATAATTCGTCATAAAGAAGAATCAAGGGCAAATGATTAACAGGCAGAACTAAAATGTCAAAGTAGAACTCACAAAGAGCACGCTACATTCGATCTGTTAGTAGAATTTATACAACCATTGGCTGTTGAATGCTATAGCATTAAGAAAACATTTGTTTAGGTTTGTCCCCTTGTTTCTTTTGCCAGGAGATGGCAGAAAATGCTCTATAAGCTTTATAGAAGAAACAGGTGTTCGAGAGATAAAACCTGAGCTACTGATAGTGGACCCATCTACTAGTCTGGAATCACAAGCTAGATGTGAGAACGTGTCTACATTAGAATTGTTGAGTGTAGGGAAGGATACCTCTAAAATCGTGGAAAATGCATTACTGAATTCTTCAAACAATTCTTCATTTGCAGGCCAATAAGGACTCACCAAGAGGTATGACATGAAATGGTCCGGGGTGTTCAATGGTAGTATTCACTGATGCTCCAGCGCTATGAGCAGGAACCCTGCAACTGCTCACTGAGATTCAAGGTCAGAGGCCCGTTGATATTCGCCAGCCGCGGCGCCGCCGCCGCCGACGAACGCATCGCCTTCTTCAGCGGCGGCGGCGGCGACAACACCTCAACAGGTAAATGCCCGGATACACTAGTCCGCTCGATCAGCAACGTGTCTACGAGGGATTCTGCGAACGACGAGCATGTTGCAAAGGAATTTGTTGGGCGCCATAGAAACCTTTTCAATGCCACAAACATATGCATCTCTAGCGGGCCTCCAAACTTGCTTTTCACCGTGGCAACAAAAATACTACACTGGTAACCAACCCATCTAATGCCGTTACTTCTCAAATTCGTTCGATACAACTCCCGCAGCACTTGTTTTCACAGTCCCTCTTCACACTCGCAATACACGCCGCCTTTTAGTCTGCACCTCCGTTCGTAGCCTTGTCTTCTCCTAGTCACTTTTGCCCTCTCCACTAGCACTTGTGCCCATCAGATATCACAGAGGGGAGTCCAGCACGGCGACGGGCAAACGTCTCCTTCAGATGACGAATAGTGACCACAATAAAAAATATACAGACACCACCGGACACGACCTTGAGCACCTCCCGATGCACTTGCATACCTTGCCCATCCCTGTCGGAATATACAAATCCAAAAAAAAAATGCAATGTTAGCAAATTCTCCACCCACTTTCTCGTCTCAACCGACAATGATCATCTCGCATTTAGTTTCTCTTCATACTTCCTTGTTACTGTCTAAACCTATAACAAATTCACAAGCCACACGAGAAACTTCACAAGTTATATATTTCGAGCCGAATGTAGTACCTCATCACAGCATTCAAATGGTCAATTCTGAGATTGAGCTTCCAGTAAGCTTCCTCCCATCCTCCTATTTTTATCTTCGTCAAACTAGCAAACGGCATATTTTCTTGATGTGCCAAAACAACCATGCAAGAACAAACTGTTTGCTTCAGATAAATATCATTTTCTTGCTTGCTAACTACATAATATATAAAGGCCATAATTAAAATCGATCCACATATCAGTCATACATATAAAATTTAATATATGATCTGCATCATACAAAATTAATCACGCAAGCACCTAACGGCCATAACATACATAATTTTGATAATATTTTTGTAAGAAATTGTTTGAAGATGCGAGTAACCATGCGAAGACAACAGCGTCAACACATGCATATGCACATGTGCAAATAACTTAGAATTTTTCATAAAAACTTCACAAGGTACAAAAGCCAAACCAAACTTTTCACTCAACACTACATATCTTTGCACTAATTGGCACTTTAAACTAGGGTTCAGCAAATCAAAGGATGTTGTCAGATAAAAGCTAGTTCAAACAATCATTTTTAGTGTCATAGCAATATAAATCACTTTAGAAAATCCTATCAAATAGTTTCTTGTAGCAAATCAGAAAACAACTTTTTTTCAGCAAATCACACCAAAATAGTGATATAAAATATTAAACTAGCAACATTACCCTGGTAGCTCGCGTGGAGAAATAGCAGGACAGGGTGAGTGCGGATAAAATCTGAATCTTAATCAGAAAAGAACTGTACCCAAATACTAAAAGCAGACTCCACCCGTGTGGCAAGAAGGACAGATGATCAGCGCAGCAAGACTTCAACCACAGAGAGATCAAAATGCAACTTTAGGTAACTTCAGGACTTTCTAGGGACAGAAAATAGGGGCAAAACTTCTAGGGACAGAAAACAGGGGTAAAACTTCCAGCGTCACAGGTAGCTTCTCCAGGTCACTCCTCTCTCATCCAGTTAGGAAGCGTGGATGCAAATGCAGAATCGATTTCATCCGTCCCCGAAAAGAAATACAAGGGATTTTGGCAATGCGAATGCAGAGCCAAAATCCCTCATATTTGGATTTGGGGACAGAGGTAGCAGATAGGCAAGGCAATTAGAGCAGTAATATTACCCTGGTAGCTCTTGTGGAGAAATAGCGGGGCTGGGCGAGTGCGGAGGAAGCCCATGGTGGGGTGGAGGTGGCGGCGGACTGAACAAGAAACAACAAGTTAGGCGCATTTAACGGAGGAATAGTGCAGCAGCAATAACCAGGAATTTTGTTCAACAAAATAGGCAAGCACACGCAACAATAACAAAATGATCCAATCCAATTACTAGTATCAACTCAACTCAATAGAGCAGTAGTAGCAAATCAGAATAGCAAGAGGGTTTGGTTTACAATTACTGTACCCAAATCCACCCGTGTGACAGAATCGATTCCCTTTGTTTCATTCGTCCCAAAAAAGAAATATAAGGGAGCCTATATTTTTGGATTAGGGGACGGAGGTAGCAGATAGACATGGCAATTAGAGCAGTAATATTACCCTGGTAGCTTGGATCGGGAAAGAGAGCGTCTGGGTGAGGGCGGAGGATGACCGTGCCGGGGTGGAGGCGGCGGCGGCGGCAGCGGCGACGGCGGAAGAGAACTGCATCGAATCGAGAAGTACAAGAGAAGCACAAAAAAAAATTCAGGGGTTAGGGTTTATCTGCCGGAAGAAAACGACGGATCGACGACCAAGTTAACTCACCGGAGTGGCGCCCCGAATCACCGGAACCAGATGCAGAGAGATCGCCGCGGCGGTGGCGGCGGCGGGAGCGAACTGCATCGAATCGACAAGTACAAGACAAGCACAAAAAGAAAAATTAGGGGTTAGGGTTTATCTGCCGGAAGAAAACGACGGATCGACGACCAAGTTAACTCACCGGAGTGGCGCCCCGAATCACCGGAACCAGATGCGGAGCGATCGCCGCGGCGGTGGCGGCGGCGGCGCGCGCCATCGTCGGCGATCGGAGGAGGGAGGGAGAGGCCGCGGCGACGCGAGTGCTTTGGATTTTCAGGTCGGTCGCACGCACGCACGCACCTTCGCCGTGCCTCACGCCCTGGACCTTTACAGGTGATGCGGCCCATTAACGTAACACCCCGGCCCACCACCCCAACCACGGTTCTAGGGCCGCCTAATTCTGTACTAGGAAAAGTTTAGGATTAAGTTCATTTCAATTTGCCGTCGAGTTCGAAATTCGTCTGTTGACCACAAGACCGGATAGAACGCACCCTCCAACTTACAAAGCCATGCAAATGAGGTCCCTCAGCAGTATTATCCCCGGTTTTGGCTGACGTGGTGTCTGCGTGGCAATTTGATCAAAAAAAAATGGTGGGGCTCATGTGGCCCCACATGTCAGCCTCACTAATCTATTATTTTCTCTATCCTCTCTCTCCCCTGGAGCAGGCGACGGGCAGGGCGTAGCGGCTGGCTGAGCGAGACGAGCAGCGGCCAGAGCATGCGGGACGGCGGCGCGGTGGATGGAGCTGCAGCGGAATGGGACAGTGGTGGGGTGGAGCAGAGGGATGGGCGGAGCGGCGGGGTGGAGCTGATGAGGCTGAGGCTGGGACAGAACCCAACGAGGACGCGTCAATGATCGGCAACGGCTATGTGGAGGAAGATACCAAGGATGGGAAGAGAGCGCCAGAGCTGCCTCGGGTGGTCATGGGGTCGTCTATTACGACCCCAAGCCCGAGGACCTCGCGATCGGCGTCGTGGTCGTCGACGCCCTCCTCTCGCTTGGTGCCGGAGCGGTCCCTTGTTGCCATCTCTTCGACTCCGCCGACTCTGCCTCCAAAAGTACACCCAAGGTCCCTCAATTTGTCATCAAATTACAAAATCATCCCCTAACCGCAAAACCAGATACAACGTGTCCCCCCACTTACAAAACCAGTGTAAATTATGTCCCTCGGCGGTTTTGACTCCGGTTTTGTCCGACATGGCAGCTGAGTCAGTGTAGGCCCCACATGTCAGGATGCCACGTCAGCAGGCCAGCCTCTCCCTTCCTCTCTCTTTCCTCCTCTCTTTATCTTCTCTCTGTACTCTAGGCAGGCCAGCTTCGTCGGCGCCGCCTTGCACGACTACGACCGGTGCAGCGGCGCGGCGCCGGCGCCAAGGACAACGAGCGGCCGCGACGAACGGAGGAGGGCGAGGTTGAGGGTCTTGAAGAACGTTAGGGACTTCATGTCGGCAGCGCCGCGGCGGGAGCCAAAGCGGGCGGCGGGGTCCTTGGCGAAGAGGCAAGCGATGAGGTCACGCGCGTCGGCGTCGGCGGGGCCGCACGACCTCACCGTCACCGGCTCGGCCACGAACCGCAGAGGCACCACCGCCACTTGAACCGGAGGAGGTGGTCCGGGAAGCAGGACGCGCCACCGCCGGCCGTGTCGTCTCGCTCATCGTCGATGTCGCCGTCGAGCGATAGTGAGCTTGATGTGAGCTAGCGAGGGGGGGGAGAGACCAGCGGCGGTGGCCGTCGAGGGAGGAGGGGAGCCGGCGGTGAGCGCATACGGAGAGGGAGGATGTGGGGCTAGCGAGGGAGGAGAAATCGACGATGGCACGGGTTGGCGTCGGGATGGAAGAGAAATGGCGGCGCCGGGTGGTTGCATCCGATTGGATGGCGATGGTGGTGGCGACACGCGGCCGAAGGGGTGGCGCGGCGTCGAGCGGCGGCAAGAATGGTGGGCAGCGGCAGCTATACAACGGCCGGTGGCGGCTGCCGCTCGCATCTAGCTCCGCCCCGCCGGCCGAGCCCCGTTCCACCCTCAACAGCCCCGCCCAGCTCCTCCCCCGGTGGCGGCAATGTGGGAGGGCATGCGCGGGAGGCCGTGCAGTGCCACCGCCGCTTCGTCACCCGTTGCCGGCCGCCGGCCGCCGGTCTCCCGCCTCCCCCACCGGCCGGCTGCCTTGCCCACTGCCGAGCCGAACTGTGGAGGAAAGAAGAGAGGGGGGGGGAAGAAGGGACTGACACGTGGGGCTCACGTGGGTCCCACACTGACTCAGCTGCCATATCGAATAAAACCGAGATCAAAACCGCCAAGGGACCTAGTTTGCACTGGTTTTGTAATTTAGGGGACGTGTTGTATCCGGTTTTACGGTTAGGGGACGATTTTGTAATTCAATGATAAGTTAAGGGACCTTGGGTGTACTTTTTCCTTTTGATTAGTTGGAGCCTTGGAGGCCCAACACGGAGACCGGGCCCAATTCGGACTCTCCCCCATCTCGGCGGCGACGGCGGCGATGGCGTCAACCGGCGTCAAGCTCATCGGCGAGTGCCCTACTCTCTCTCTCCTCCCTCTCGCTCGCCGCTCTTATGCTCCTACCTGGACTGACCCGGCCTTCTTCTTCTACTCCTCCTCTCATCTTCTTCTCCGTCTCCGGCGCCACCGCGACGAGCAGACATCGCCGTCAACTTCACCGGTATAACCGCCGCCTCCTCCTCCCGATTCTTATCTCGTTTTTCTCGGCTCACTGTCTGGCTCTCACGCTTTTCTACTTGCGTCTTGCTCTTTGCTGCTGCGATGCGAACGAACTGAAGATGGCATGTTCAGGGGCATCTACCACGGCAAGCAATGCCACGCCGCCGACATCCCCGCCGTGCTCGCCCGTGCGCGGGCGGCCGGCGTCGACCGCATCATCATACGCTGCTTTGCTGCCTGCCATTCCCCCTTTCGCTTCTTATTTCTTGCTTATGGCTCAGATTTGGTGTGCTTAATCTCTCGCTTTCTTGGTTTGGTCCGGCGGAAGGTCACCGGAGGTTCGCTGAAGGAGTCCAGGGAAGCGCTCGAGATCGCCGAGACCGATGGTGAGCTCAGCTGCTTCGATGCGGCTTGCTTTGACTATGTTCTCCTTGGTGCCTTCAAGGTGTTTGTTGTAATGTGCCTGAGAAGCTGTGATGTGCTTGTACGATGCAGGGAGGCTGTTCTGCATGGTGGGCGTGCACCCGACGAGATGCGGGGTAGGGGTGGATTGTATTCCATTCCTGTTTCATTGCTGACACCTGAGATTGGCGTGTGCCTTTCACGATTGGATTATGTAAATAGTGCTTTGCTGAATGTTAGGAGTTTGAGGAGAGTGGAGACCCGAAAGGGCATTTCCAGGCGCTGCTGGCTCTGGCGAAGGAAGGAATCGCGAAAGGCAAGGTGTGTGTATCACTTGTCCTGCAGGTCTATCATGTAGTGAAATGTTTCTTTTAAGTTCACCTGGGGATCCCCTCCTAAATATAGGAATTACATGTCAACCATCGGGTTTTATTCAGGAATTAGATATCTTAAATGCATTGTCGTAGCAGTCCTGTTCTTGAGGGAGGTAAGCTATTGAAGATCACCCATTACAGTGTTTCCAGATTCTCCAGAAGAATAGTAAGAAGAAAGTGCTGCAATGCTGCTGTGGTAGTGCTTGATCTGCTTGTAGACTTCCCAAGCCGTGTCCTGTAGTGAAATGTTATTGCAATCTGCTTGAAAATAATTGGACTCACTGAATTATGTCTTTAGTTCTTAATATTAACGGAAGACCGAACTCAATGAGCAGCAGAGTTCTATCTTCTTTGCAGTATGCTTATTCTAGTGGTGTTGTAAAGTGCAAACGAACTCACTATCTAGTTATAAATATGCCTTGAGTTGGATTCCCTGAACATATAATCTTGTGCATAAATAGTTCAGTTATTTACTTACTCTTTTGTTCTGTCTTTTGGAGTCAAAACTTGCAATATTCTGATATGGGTTTCAATTCCTACAGGTTGTAGCAGTGGGAGAATGTGGTCTGGATTATGATCGACTTCACTTTTGTCCATCGGATGTACAGAAGAAGTATAGTCTCACACAAGCACATCGAAGAATGATAGTTATTCGCATATTTTCTGAGCAATTTTGTGCTGTTTAGGTACTTCAAGAAGCAATTTGAATTGGCTGAAGCAGTAAAACTGCCAATGTTTCTTCACATGAGGGCTGCTGGTGAAGACTTCTGTGAGATTGTATCAGAAAATCTGCATAGGTAATGCTCAATCTGTATACCAATACCATAATGACCACAAAGACAAATAATGATATTGGCAAGGAGCCAAGGACTACTGAGTACTGCTTTATACTCCTCCAGTGTTCTAGATCAGCACAACTAAAGATGCTGACAATAAGATTAGTTACGTTTCTTTATGTCTCACTTTCTGAAAATCACTTTGACGTGTCTGCATATTTTCAAGTCTGAGAACCATATTTCTCTATCTCAGATTCCCTGGCGGTGTTACACACTCCTTCACTGGAACTTCAGAGGACCGTGATAAGCTTCTTTCCTTTGAAAAGATGTTTATAGGTCATCTCCCCCCTCCCCTTGATGTTACATATTTGCATGTAGTGCATCTTGATAATTATAGAACTTAAAGAGTACCACAACACTTCTATTTGTAGTCGAAGTTCATTTCAGTTTCTGCTGCAAGTTTGTTCTTTTTTTGGTGAAGACCTCCATTTGGGCAATTAGATGTGAATAAAAATATTAGTAGCAATTAAAACGTTCTCATTCCATTATAATTCAGTTATGTCAGGTAAACCATACTGACTTAATGTACCAATGCATGTATTAATGGATGCTCTCTGAAGACTAGTGAAAATTTCGAGGTTCTACAAGGTATTCCTGCAGAGAGAATGATGATAGAGACAGACTCTCCATACTGTGATATTAAAAATACTCATGCTGGAATCAAGCTCGTAAAGTCTGTCTGGCCATCCAAGAAGAAAGAAAAGTACGAGCCGGATTCTACAGTAAAAGGTCGCAATGAGGCCTGCTTAGTCAGGTAATTCAACACAATTATGCGTAAACTCTAATAAGGTAATTGTTCAGTAAGTATTTGACTGGCCTGCAATGCATGAACACCTGAAGTTATTATTTGCTTTTCATGCTCCTTTTACTTGGTTCTTCTGAGGAAACACAGCAGAAGTAATGCTCATCATTCTGAGAACATTAAACTATTTTGTTTTTACCACATGCTTGTTGAAATGTCTTACTTGACTAATAAAATACTGACCATTGGCAGTTCAATATGATGTTTTGCAGATATTTATTTGGTTATCATTTTCCATAGATGCAGAATCATTTGCCCAGATTTTAAGCTAAATCAATTTAAATTCTTATCATAATTAATCATGAATCTTTCGATGGAACGGAAATTGATTTCATCAACCTTTTCTTTTGTTTATACTTTATACTTGCACGAACAGAGTTGCAGCCTTGGGCACTCTGTGCCATGATAACATCAATCATGCAGACCATAACAACCACAGTTTATAACAATTTCTAGTTGATCAAACATGCAAAACCTAAAACTACAAGCTCTTTCTTTCTCGCTCAACAAGGGAAGCTGATGACATAGTTGCATGTCCCGGTGTCGCCTCTCTTCATCCAGCATACCTATCTCAAAAGAAAAACATACATACGAGATCACAAACACATATAGTGCGTTTGGTTGCTCGTATTCCCCTAGCCTAGCCCATCTCTCTCATCCAGGCTGAGTTTGGCCTGGTTGAGATGATGCACATGCAGCTGTTTGGTTGTTTGCATTAGACTAGCTAGGCTGACACGAGATTTTGTTTGGTTACTCGTATAAGAAATACAGTTTGAAAGAGAATTCGTTTGGTTGGTTGCATGGATGGTAGGGGTAGGTATCTCTTTTTCTAAAGGGTGAGATTACCACCTAAAACTTGTGGACTACCATTTAGATAAGCTAAAATTTAACTCATGAAGAGTGTAAATTTCTAAGTACTAAACATTTGATTTTATCTTCTATATTAATTATTGATATTGATTCGTGGCAACAATTATTTTAAGAATCGTCAAATAAGCAGGATATATATACACCAGCACATCTGCACGGCACAAAGTTATAAAATAAGTGAAATAATTAGCAATGCATACAGTAAACATCATTATATTCCCACATTTCATGGTCACGGTTTGCTAGTCGGTGAAAAAAGAAAAGAAAAAAAAACAGAAAAAGAAACAGAGAGGAGAGGAGCTTCGTTGATGTCGCTAGGCCTGCCGCTCCGCCGAAGCCCCGACCTGCCGTTCGCCGTCGTGTGTGCGCTGCTGTTCGGAGCTGTCGGAGCAACAGGATCCGGTGGCCATGAGCCCGAGGCTGCTGGATCTGGCAGCGTCCAGCTCGTGGCCGCCGGATCCATTGGTATTTTGGCTGATGAAGGAAGGGAAGAGATGCAGCCAAGATGGGGAATCCGTGACCAGTGAGGAGGAATCCGGTGGCCGGCGAGGTTGGAGGCGGTGGCGCAGAGAGGGGCAGTCGCCGAAACCTCCAGCGAGCTCCTTCACGCCTCCCTCTATTGGATATGGCAGCAGCGTCCTCCGTCGAGCCTCTATCTGCTGGATCCGATGGCGACTTGGCGAGTGGCGACGTGCTCGAGGCCGCCGGTTCTAGCCCGTGAAGTAGAGACGGAGACGGAGGCTGTGGAGAAGTCGGCGAGGGTTAAGGATCTCGAGGTTGGAGACGATGGTGGGCGGCGACGACGATGGAGACGAGGGCGAAGAGCGGCGAGGAGCAATCGGATGGGCGAGAGAAACAAATGAGAGATGGGGGATCGACCGACCCCTACGCGTTGCCTGCACCCGCTCGTGCGCGCCTGCATCCACTCGTCCCCACGCGCTGCACAAGTCGAGCCTGGACGAGGAGCTACGAAGGAATCGGGCGTTCCCCCTCAGCCTGGCTGGGAGGCAGATTTTGCATCAGCGCATCCTGGTTCGCGCGTGCGAGCAGGCAGCCAAACACATGCACCACATCCCGCTGGCGCTGGATGCGAGCCACCCTATGTACAGGCAACCAAACACACCCATAATGACAGATTTTAATTGAGATAATAAGCATCAAGTTCATACATATGTTGCATATATTCATGATGACATCAATCATGCGGATCACATCCACAACCATTATAGTAACACTTAACTAACAACACTTACAAGTTGATCAAACAACCAAAACTTAAATTACAAGCTCTTCTCTGTCTCTGGGGAGGACAGGTGGGCAGGCAGGGGCTCCCAATGCTTGAAAGCTAGTAGCTCCTAATTTCATCTTATGAGTTAAATTCCTACGCTTGTGTGCGATAAATCCACTGGAATATACTAAGAACAGAAAATTAGCAAGGAAACGAATCCTCCATTGTCTCGTAAATTCTTCCTCAATACTGCAAAGCACAAAAAAATAGAAAGAGAGAAATGTTATGAGACTGCAAAATTTGTACTTGAGCAACATAATGAACACACAATCAACAGAGAAAAAAACAATTAGAGCTAGCGCATGGGCTCTAGTAATATATGATTTACTTACTTTGGCACTGGAGGCCATGGATACCAAGATTGACGAAACAAATGACGGTCCTCGATGATGGAACTGGATGAAAAAGGTCTCTTAGCCCCATTAAGAGAATCCACAAATGGTGTACTCATGTGGTTGGTTTTAGTCAAGGCCATGCCAGTTCTTGCTACCTGTATAATTAAGATGAAAACCACAAGTTAAATTCTAATAATATTAAACAAGGAAAACTGGCCAGTCACATATGGCAGGTTGGAACATGCATTGGTAATCAACATCATCATGATGATCAAAGATTACTAGGGTTTAATCTGTTTGTCACACTGCCATCATAAAGCCTAAGAAATTTCATGAACTACTTACCGATGATCTGCACAGTAGCGGCGTGAATTTCTTGGACAGGATGCGGATGCCGGAGACAGCCATCTCAGCAGTCGATCCGATAAAAAAAAAGGATTGGATTTTGAAGAGTTTTGTTCTTGAACGAATCAATCACTGCAATTGCTGCTGCTTATAAAGAAGTGCTCAATAATTCCGAATCCGAACAACATTTGGAAGCAAAAAAAAAAGGAAAAAAATTAGTGTAGGATTAATTAGGTTTCAATTATTATAAACTCAAAATATAAATTTATTTAAATCTCTACTATTATAAAAGTTTAAGATGTTTTTGCCGTAGTTTTTTGTCAGTTATTGTGTGTCCAAATCGGATCAGGATTCAGGAGTTTGGAGTTTCGTCGGTTCCGCCGGTCGGTAGGCGTGCACGTTGATCCGTCAGCTTCACCTCTTCCTGACCTGTCCGTCCCGTCCCACGCTTCTCCAAGGGACGCTTCTCCGACTCGATCTCTTCGTCTCCTCTTTCTCAATTCGAACTGATCTCTTGCGTTTCACTGCCTCCATATAACAACGCCCATATTTGCTTCATTAATCACACGGTCTTTTTTCGTGATTGGACAAGGAGGACGAGGCCAGGTGGCTGCATCGGCCCTGGTAGGAGTCCATGACCTCCGGTGAGCATGATGCTTCATCCTTGTACGCAATGGCTGTGAGCTTGTTTACTTGAAGGAACTGATCGTGATTTTGTTGTAAGGTGGGTTAATTGTTGAGCAAATTTTAGCTTTTTTGGTTGCAAAACTATTTTTATGGTACAGTTCATGTGAAACATCAACTTTTCCCCTGCAGTTCATTACTCGATGCCTTCTTGTTTCAGAAAAAAAAAAATCTCCCTCCGATTTTTTCATAAATCGGATCGGATCAATAGCAAGCTTCTGCGATGAGGAGGTGACTGGCTGCTGCTTATCCCACGGCCATGGAGTCACGACGCAGAGGTTCGATTGTGCTGCGACCTTCTGTTAGCCACTGGATTCACTAGCATGGGATAGGTCTCAATCGGTGTCGGGAAGGGCTACCGTCACTAAGCAAAGATCACTGATATGAGATATTATCTTAATCGGGTATTTGGCCGGCATGGATTATAGTGATCTCAATCGAGCTAAGTATAAGGCCTGTCATAGATAGGTTTGGCCCAGCATATGAGTCAAACGAGATTAGTTATGGCACCTGTCACAGATGACTAATCTCAAACGGGCATATCATGAAGCTCGTCACGTATATCTCTATCTCTACTATTATAAATTTTGAATATGTTTTTGCCGGTATTTTGGTACGTCATCCGTGTATGAGTCAATTTTTAAGTTCGTTTGCTTTTGGAAATACATATCCGTATTTGGGTCGGTTTTTAAGATCGTTCACTTTTGATAATAGAAGGAATCATATAAGAAATCTGTTTAAAAACCTCAAGGTTATGAGCCTCGTGAGCTACCAAACTGCTCTACTCCGCTCTGGAGCGCTGGAAACCGGTGGACGATCAGACTCCTAACTGCAGCTCATGATTTTCTAAAAAAAATATATATCCAAGCGAACTCACGGGCATTTAACAATAAATTTCATCTTAACTAAACCATTTAACAATAATAAGATTAAAATAAACTTCACCCGTTGCAACGTACGGGCATTTTTTCTAGTTTAAAGAAAATTAAAAGAACGAGACGAAACTCAAGTTTGGTTAGTTGGAGCCTTGGAGGCCCAAACACGAAGACCGGCCTCGGCCCAATTCGGACTCTCTCCCCATCTCGACGGCGGCGGCGGCGGCGGCGATGGCGTCCACCGGCGTCAAGCTCATCGGCGAGTGCTCTACTCTCTCTCCTCCCTCTCCTCCCTCTCGCTCGCGACTCTCATGCTTCTACCTGGACTGACCCGGCCTTCTTCTACTCCTCCTCTCATCTTCTTCTCCGTCTCCGGCGCCACCGCGACGAGCAGACATCGCCGTCAACTTCACCGGTACCCACCTCCTCCTCTCCTCACGATTCTTATCTCGTTTTTCTCGGCTCACTGTCTGGCTCTCACGCTTTTCTACTTGCGTCTTGCTCTTTGCTGCTGCGATGCGAACGAACTGAAGATGGCATGTTCAGGGGCATCTACCACGGCAAGCAATGCCACGCCGCCGACATCCCCGCCGTGCTCGCCCGCGCGTGGGCGGCCGGCGTCGACCGCATCATCGTACGCTGCTTTGCTGCCGGCCATTCCCCCTTTCGCCTTCTTTCTTGCTTGGTTTCTACTTTCTTATGGCTCGGCTTTGGTGTGCTTAATCTCTTGCTTTCTTTGGTTTGGTCCGGGCGGAAGGTCACCGGAGGCTCGCTGAAGGAGTCTAGGGAAGCGCTCGAGATCGCCGAGACCGACGGTGAGCTCAGCTGCTTGGATGCGGGTTGTTTTGACTATGTTCTCCTTGGTGCCTTCAAGGTGTTTGTTGTAATGTGCCTGAGAAGCTGTGATGTGCTTGTACGATGCAGGGAGGCTGTTCTGCACGGTGGGCGTGCACCCGACGAGATGCGGGGTAGGGGTGGATTGTGTTCCATTCCTCTTTCATTGCTGGTACCTGAGATTGGCGGGTGCCTTTTGCGATTGGGTCATGTAATTAGTGCTTTGCTGAATGTTAGGAGTTTGAGGAGAGTGGAGACCCGGAAGGGCATTTCCAGGCGCTGCTGGCTCTGGCGAAGGAAGGAATTGCGAAAGGCAAGGTGTGTGTATCACTTGTCCTGCAGGTCTATCATGTAGTGAAATGTTTCTTTTAAGTTCACCTGGGGATCCCCTCCTAAATATATAATATATTTGGCATTTCTTTTTCAAAGACCATGCAAATAGTAAGAGAACATATAGGGTGGCAGAAAGTACCTGTTTCCATATAGGAATTACATGTCAACCATCGGGTTTTTTTCAGGAATTAGATATCTTAAATGCATTGTCGTAGCAGTCTTGTTCTTGAGGGAGGTAAGCTATTGAAGATCACCCATTACAGTGTTTCCAGATTCTCCAGAAGAATAGTAAGAAGAAAGTGCTGAAATGCTGCTGTGGTAGTGCTTGATCTGCTTGTAGACTTCCCAAGCCGTGTCCTGTAGTGAAATGTTATTGCAATCTTGCCATATATTTTGCTTGAAAATAATTGGACTCACTGAATTATGTCTGTAGTTCTTACTATTAACAGAAGACCAAAATCATTGAGCAGCAGAGTTCTATCTTCTTTGCAGTATGCATTTTCTAATGGTGTTGTAAAGTGCAAACAAACTCACTATGTAACAATATCTAGTTATAAATATACCCTGAGTTGGATTCCCTGAACATATAATCTTTTGCATAAGTAGTTCAGTTATTTACTTACTCTTTTGTTCTGTCTTTCGGAGTCAAAACTTGCAATATTCTGATATGGCTTTCAATTCCTACAGGTTGTAGCAGTGGGAGAATGTGGTCTGGATTATGATCGACTTCACTTTTGTCCATCGGATGTACAGAAGAAGTATACTCTCACATAAACACATCGAATAATGATAGTTATTCACATATTTTTCTGAGCAATTTTATACTGTTTAGGTACTTCAAGAAGCAATTTGAATTGGCTGAAGCAGTAAAATTGCCAATGTTTCTTCACATGCGGGCTGCTGGTGAAGACTTCTGTGAGATTGTGTCAGAAAATCTGTATAGGTAATACTCAATCTGTATACCAATACTATATAGGCAAGGAGCCAAGGACTACTGAGGAGTACTGCTTTGTACTCCTCCAGTGTTCTAGATCAGCACAATTAAAGAAGCTGACAATAAGATTTAGTTACGTTTCTTTATGTCTCACTTTCTGAAAATCACTTTGACGTATTTGCATATTTTCAAGTCTGAGAACCATATTTCTCCATCGCAGATTCCCTGGGGGTGTTACACACTCCTTCACTGGAACTGCAGAGGACCGTGATAAGCTTCTTTCCTTTGAAAAGATGTTTATAGGTCATCTCCTTCCCACCCCTTGATGTTACAAATTTGCATGTGCTGCACCTTGATAATTATAGAACTCAGAGTACCACAACACTTCCATTTGTAGTCAAAATTCATTTCAGTTTCTGCCGCAAGTTCGTTCTTTTTTGGTGAAGACCTCCATTTGGGCAATTAGATGTGAATACAAATATTAGTAGCAATTAAAACGTCTCATTCCATTATAATTCAGTTATGTCAGGTAAACCATACTGACTTAATGTACAATGCAGGTATTAATGGATGCTCTCTGAAGACTAGTGAAAATCTTGAGGTTCTACAAGGTATTCCTGCAGAGAGGATGATGATAGAGACAGACTCTCCATACTGTGATATTAAAAATACTCATGCTGGAATCAAGTTCGTGAAGTCTGTCTGGCCATCCAAGAAGAAAGAAAAGTACGAGCCGGATTCTACAGTAAAAGGTCGCAATGAGCCCTGCTTAGTCAGGTAATTCAACACAATTATGCATAAACTCTAATAAGGTTATTGTTCAGTAAGTATTTGACTGGCCTGCAATGCATGAACACCTGAAGTTATTATTTGCTTTTCATGCTCCTTTTACTTGGTTCTTCTGAGGAAACACAGTAGAAGTAATGCTCATCATTCTGAGAACATTAAACTATTTTGTTATTACCACATGCTTGTTGAAATGTCTTACTTGACTAACAAAATACTGACCATTGGCAGTTCAATATGATGTTTTGCAGATATTTATTTGGTTAGCATTTTCCATAGATGCAGAATCATTTGCCCAGATTTTAAATCAATTTAAATTCTTATCATAATCAATCATGAATCTTTCGATGGAACGGAAATTGATTTCATCAACCTTTTCTTTTGTTTATACTTTACACTTGCGCCTAACTTTTTCCTCCAAGAAAATTAATAACTGAAGATACATCAATCCCAGGCAAGTTCTTGAGGTTGTAGCTGGATGCAAAGGAATTGCTGACATTGAAGGCTTAAGTAAAACTCTGTACCACAACACGTGCAGGTAAGCTGTCCGTGCGTCATGCCTTGCTGTCTGGTCTAAGTACTCATCTAATGCAGTCAATTTCTCTAAATTTTACTAGTAATTTTGTCCTTGATGCTACAGCTCTGCATGTCTCCAATTTTCATCAGATCATGTTATTGAGCTCAATCTTTCATTTCTCTACCTTGCAGGCTCTTCTTCCCTCAGGACCTGGATGCTTCTGCTGATGCACAGCTTGAGAGTGGTGCGTTTATTCAAAATAGCTGATGGGACATGACAGAGCGTTTGTTACTTTGATATTCACTTAACGATGTTTGCTACCTTTTTTTTTTTTTTTGCTTGGTTAAAGATCTTGTACTTCGACAATTGCCAAATTGGCTTGCTATGAGAGTGTCGTTCATGTTCTACAAATGTTAATAAGGAAGTGAATCTCCACTACATCTACTATAACAGTCACATTGGATTACTCAAGTTTAGTTATATTCTAGAAGTAACGGTTTTCTAAAAAGTAGAAACAAATTGAAGAAAAGTAGAAACGAAGTATCACCCCAATTTATTCAAGTAATAGGTACACCTTAATGAATCCAATATTTTACTTCATATTACACAGAGAACATATTAACTGAATAAATATAGGAAGCAAAACAGTTGCACTTTAGATTTCTGCACAATATATTACAGCAATAACTGAAACTCGGAGCACCTCTATGTCTAATAATATTCTATTGGCTATGGCTCATATCCCATTTTAGCATCTCTTGTGTCAAAATTTTCAATTGGACAAGTACAATTTAGATTGGAATGCCGAATGGCAGAATAAGTAAATCAGTGCAACCATCAATTAGATACTAATAACTGGCAGCTGTCTGCAAGTTGCTCTCTTCCGTTTCAGCTTCAGAAGGTTCTGAGGTAATGCTCTGCTCTGTCTCTGCATCAGATGATTCTGAAGCAGTTTCTTCCTCCTGTGACTGCACTGTGCTAGGAGAACCAGCTGTTGGGTTCTGTTCCGCCATACTGAGCCTCAGTGGCCTTCCTTCCAGTTCCTGCAGATCATATACAATCATGTTAGCCACTGATTTGTAAATGAAGCTTCCAATCATGCTAGAACATGATTTTGAATTTAGCAAACATAAGAGTTTTGCATAGTGTATGATTATTATCTATCCATGGGATAAAGAAGCAACAAAGAAATTATCAGTGTGACCATCATTTGAGCACAAAATACTATCACAAATCAAACCTTAGTAACCTTGTTGCTGCATTCCATAATGGAAGCTAAAGTGCTAACATTTGCACCCCAGTAGTTCACTTATGCTATTAAATCAGTTGGCATCAGCTAATTCAGGTCCATCAAGAAGAAAGATTTAGATAGTTGAGAACTTTAGACAACACATACCACTCCATCCAATGCCTCCAATGCAGCCTGTGCATCCTCTGCAGTCCTGAAGGAGACGAATCCGAAACCCCTGGACCGACCGGAGTCGCGCTCGAAGATGACCCTAGCATCAAGCAAGCCGGGCTGCCCCTCGAACGCCGCCCTCAGAGCATCGGCACGCACACCCCACCCCAGGTTCCCGGCATAGATCTTGAATGTGCCGTCATCGCGCCTGTTCTCCCTTGTGGCCGCCGCCGATCCCACCGCCCTCTCCCCTCCCCGCGGCACCTCCGGGTAGTTCACCCTTGCAGTCCTCCCTCCAAGCAGCTACACATAAGGCACACAGCCACAATGCCACAAAATTGACCAGATTTCATAACTTCATTTACTCCAATAGCTCAATTTCAGTGAAATGGAGCAGAATTGCTTTGAATTGGTGTGTGAAAAAAACTCACGGCCCCATTGAACATCTGGATGGCGGTGGCAGCCTCCTCGGCGGTGGCCATGGTGACGAAGGCGAAGCCGCGGCTCCGGTCGGTGACCTTGTCATAGATTATCTGCACCAGTATGAGATCCACCATCAGATTCAGACCAAGATATAACTCAGAAAATGGGGGAAAATTTTTGAGGGTTTTGATTGGTTGGTCATGGAAACCTGGACGTTGTCGACCCTGCCGGCCTCGGAGAAGGTCTGGGAGATCTCGCCGGAGGTCATGGTGTAGGGGAGGTTGCCGACGAAGAGGCGGCCGGGCTCTTGCCCGAGCGCCGGCCGGCTTCTCGGCGGGTAGTATCCGCGAGGCGCCGCCACCGCCGCCGCCTCCTCCTCCTCCCCATCTTCCTCTTCCTCCTCCACGTACTCCTCCCCCTCTTCTTCCTCCTCGTTGGCGTACTCCTCCTCTTCCGAAGAGAACTCTCCACCGGCGGCGGCGAGGGGAAGCAGAATGCGGCGGCGATGACCGGAGGCGACGAAGAGGTTGAGGACGCCGACGCGGTGGCGGTGAAGGCCCTGGAGCCGTAGGTGAGCGGGAGGCAGTGGCACACGCTCGGTGAGGGCCGCGGCGGCGGGGTGTAGCAGCGAGCGGAACGCGACGGCGGCCATGGCCGTGGAGGAGGAGAAGATGGCGGGAGAAGCGAGGAGTGGAGCAGCGGTGGTGGCGTTGCTACTACTACTAATCTCTTATCCGCTTCTTAATGGGCCGTACTAAATAAGTCTTATTTACGTCCCTCATCTTTGCCACGGTCGAATTGTGGGATGTAAAATGAACTTCTTCAACACGTCCTAATAACTAGGCTCATTGTAATTGGGCCTATCTTTGGTTGGGCCTGGAGCCCATTAGGGCCCAAGGAGGTGGTGGAGGAGGAGGAATCCCTCTCCGACACCAACTCGGCGGCGGGCGGCGGCGCGACTCCTCCTCTTCTTCTTCTTCTTCCTCCTCCCCAACTTCTTTCCCAAGAAAGAAGCAGAGGTAACCACCACCAGATCACGGCAATGGCGTCTCCGGCGTCTGATCCCGCCATCGCAGCGCCCCACCTAGAGGCGGAAGAACCCGCCGTCGTAACGGTGGCGGCGGCGGCGGCGGAGGAGGCTGTGGTGGTGGCGGCGGATGTGGAGAAGGAGGGGGAAGGGGAAGATGAGGAGGAGGAGGAGGAGGAAGGGGAGTGTGGGTTCTGCTTGTTCATGAAGGGAGGGGGATGCAAGGAGGCGTTCGTGGCGTGGGAGGAGTGCGTGGAGGCGGCGGGGAAGGAGGAGGGCTCCGACATGGTGGAGCGCTGCTTCGAGGTCACCGCCAACCTCAAGAGGTGCATGGACGCGCACGCGGACTACTACGCCCCCGTGCTCCGCGCCGAGCAGGCCGTCAACGACCACGCCGACGCCGCCATCGCCGCCGACAAGGCAAAGGAAGGCGGGGAGAAGAAGCTAGATGCGGTGGCCCAGGAGGCCGCGTCCGCCGCCGACGAGAAGAAACAACAGGTTGAGGAGAAGTCGTCGTCGTCTTCTTCCTCGCCGACCACCACCATTGACGAGAGAAAGGAGAAAGAAGTGGTGACTGAAAAGGCTGATTCCTGAGTAACTTAACAGTTTTTTTCAAATTTGGTTAGCAATTGAGTTTATGATCTTACTGTGATTGATATGAGCAGAGCTACTATATCATAGATTCGTCAAGCTAATTTTTGGGTCCCTTTGTGGGGGAAATAAAGCCGATTACGGAATAATTGTTGGACATGATAAGCAATTTACTGAGGAAATTTTGATGCTAGTATTATGTTGTTTTGGCACACCCATGAGGAGGTTGCCTGTACTGGATTGTTGTCTCTTGTTGCATTGATTTTATACTGCTGGGTAGTTACTAATTACTGCTGGTGATTGCAATGTCTAATCTTGTTTAATTTTGAGTTCCACTGAAATCGCTATGCTGGATAAGTTTGGCCTAAGTGATGAACCATGAGCAGAATGTTCTAAAATCTATTGAGAACTGGACATAGTATACATACACTAGCTGTGAGGTTTTAGTCTTCAATCGCAATTGCTTTTGTTGTACTAAATGATAGCGATATTTTTAGTTGGTAGTAACTTGCTAGCGTTTTTTTAGTCAGAAATGCTTCTTTTATAGAAATCTCAGGTGAACAATACTGTGACTGCAATCTGATGTTTAAATATTATTGAAAATTTTACTGCATTTTTTTACCTGGTTCTGGTTAAACTTTTATAGGATTCATTTTGGCCATATTTGTGTAACAAGGCCTTTATATGGTACTAATGTGACCAATGCCTCTGATCATGTGGTGAAAAAGGGAAACTGTCTGTTAGCAGCAGTATAAATTTGTCATAGGTATTGTGCTTGATGGATAGGCTAGTATTTCATTTGTCTGAGGATTGGAATATTGTGCAATAAAAAGTTTAGTTACATTGTCTTGTTAACTATCCAAGATTTACCCTGCTAGTATTACGTGAGATAACTGAGGAGTGTTTTAAATTGGGATGGACCCATTTACATCTCGCTATGTTGACTCGAGTATTTCTCCTGTTTGTCCAAATTAATAAAATTTCCATGGTCTAGTAGGTTTTTGTTGTGTAGGCTAAAGCAACCAGCAGATTACAGACATGCCTAGACTAATTCAGAATATATGGTCATATACTCGTATATTGTCTTGGTTTTTCCTTGCAAGGTGATTTTTGCTTCTCTGTAATATAGTCTCCCTAACCATTCACCTTCTGAATGATGAGCTGCAAAATAACCAAACCGAGTGTGTGTTTTATGTTCTTGTCAGATTGATCGACTACTTTGGTATCACTGATTGTTGCTTGTAGTCAAACAAGGGAGAAGACTAACCTGAGAAATTACAGATGGATGATCCTTCAGCATGCCCTATTGTCCTGCTGTTTATTGTGTTTCAATGTTATCAGAATTTCAGCTTTATCAGATGTAAAACTTGGTAGTAGTTACCATCTGCAGCCCTCCATTCATCATCTACTGTGCATCTACTCTGTTCTTATTCATCTGATATGAAGATTTATGGGGACTGGATTACTGTACCTCACTTTGCAGTAATGCTATTAACTAATATAAATGTTCAACTCTCAATAAAATCCGGTCTGTGATACAAGATTTCCATGACTTGTCTTGGTTTCTACTTGCTAGGTGGTTTTTCTCATCTCCCTGATATAGTCTCCCTAACAATTAACCTTCTGAATGACGAGCTGCAAGAACCAAACCTTCTGAATTCTTGAGGTTTTTGTAAGATTGCTTGGCTGCTTTGGTATCACTGATTGTTGCTTGTTGCTTTTTTTTTTCAAACAAGGAAGAGCAGCTGTTTCCTGAGAAATTATAGATGGATGATGCTTCAGCTTTGCCCTGCTGTTTATTGCATTTCTATAATATGAGAATTCTTTCAGTTGCTCAAATGGAAAACCTGGCAGTTTACCATCTGCAAGACTTTGTTCTGATTCATCACTTATGAAGATTTATGGAGACTGGATTACTGTACTTTGAAGTAATGCTATTAACTACAAAAATGTTATGTTGTTTCAACTTTTAAGTAATGTTATTAACTACAAAAATGTTGTACCCAAATAAAATTTAGTCTATGAAATAAGATTTCCATGACTTGCAACTAATTCTACAACACAATCATTGTCAGCAAACTCTGATTGTTTTTAAAACAGTGTTAACACCTTAATAAACCTAGTCATCTAAGCACCAAGATCAAACTAGACATCAAAAATCAAAGGACACACAAAATGAGAGCCTAGATTTAAACAAATCTGCATCAAAATAAAATCAAATTCTAGTCCTTTTTACATGAGCAACTGAGAAGCAGTTTGCATCAGTTGCATGAAATTGATTTCCATTGCGCATACACTACTAGTCTACTACTACTACTACTACTACAGCCAAGGATGAATTGCCACCGGCGCCGGCGAGGTTCGCCGGCGACGGCCAGCGGCGGCGGTCACACCTTGAGGAGGTCGACGCGGCAGCCATGGTGAGGCGTCGCGGTCGCCCACTTCCCCTCGCCGCCGCCGCCGCCGCCGTCCATCATCGCGGCCAGCGACGGGAAGAACGCCGGCGAGCGGAGGTGACCCATCGCGTGGTGGAAGTCGCCGCCGTCGCCGCCGCCGCCCGCGCCCATGTCGTCGTCGTCGTCGTACACGCGCGTCGCCTCCGACGCCGACGAGCTCTTGTTGCTCGCCCCGTGGTCGCCGCCACCGGAGCTCACCGGCGCCGCGTCGGCGGCCGCGGCGGCGGCGGAGGAGGCGTTCTTGGTGTTGAGGAAGCGGCCGCCGCTGCCCCGCGCGCGGCGCATGGCGTGGCGGTGGCGCGACTCGTGGAGGTACGGCTGCGCCGTCGCCGAAGAAGAAGAAGAAGAAGAAGAAGACGAGTCAGTCACTGTCACTGCCAGTTCGCCGGCGAATTGACAAGGGAAGGAGACGACGACGAGCACTCGCCGCCGCCGTCGCCGTCGCCGCCGTCTTACCTTCCGGCTCCGGGAAACCCGGTGCTCCCGCTCCGCCTTGGCGCGCGCCAGCCGCCGCCGGATGATGCCGTTGAACTGCTTCGCGTTGACGTAGATCGGACCCACGTCGGTGGCGATCGCCGGCGGCAGCAGCATCCTCCCAGCCTTTGAAGCACACAAAACATTCAGAGAAAATATTCACAGTAAGCATCTGAAACTTCTTCAGATTCTTGTCAAAATGGCATGGCATACTGATGCTGAATCTGAACTGAAGTTTACACATGGATTTGGACAGAGATGTTCAGAGATCAAGAAGACAAGAACTGAAGAACATATATACCATGGTTTGAGCTCCATAGGGGGAGTAAACACCATAGCTTTGTTCAGAGTTGCAGAAGTTGGTGCAAACCTTCAGAGTTGCAGAAACAAACAGTTAGCTGGTTCAACCAAAGATGTTTTTGAGATTCAGTTTCTGGAGTAAATCTTGAATTGGGTAAGAGAATTCTCACCATGGAGTGGCCAAGGGCTAGCTCAAAGTGTCCTTGGTACTCCTGCAATGGCGAGTACGCGGCGATGGTCGGCGCGGAGGACTCATGGAACTTCAGATCTTTGCCAAGATCAGAGTCACCTGAAAACCACAGAGGTATTTTGTCATCATGGATATTTCTTAGTACTTGACAATATATTTTTTTATTTTTATCAAAGTATCTTGTCTGACTATGTTCTGCTGGGGGAATTAGTGGGCAGGGAAGATTCCAACCAGGGAATAACAATTAAGAATGTTTTTGGAATCTCATCTAGAATACAGAAGAGAGTAGTGCTGCCTATTAAAACATTTGAAGCATTAGATCCTTTTCTGATAAGAGTGATGTCATTTGCTCTAAAGCTTTTTCCCTTGTTCAGTCTCCCAAAAGACTTTCAGTTCCACTTTTATAAAAGGGAATAAAATGCACTGGTTCAGTCCAAAGCCTTTAGAGGGGAGCCTGATTCCATTCTTGCAAAACTATGGCCATACTATCTGCCAGTAATGAACATTCCAACAAGTACATAGATTTCCACAAAACAAATTAATTAACACTAAAATAATGTTCTAATCTGTACCCCCTTCAAAACATAGTTTAAAATAAAACACTTCTTTTTCCCAAGTTTTGTAACTCAGTTCATCCAGGCCCACCCTTTCTGTGTGCTGGTACTACCAGATTTCCAGTGGTAACATCTCTCCTTTTTCTTTTTCAGTTTTCTTCAGTTGTAAAGCTGCATGACATTGGGCAGCTTTCCTACTCGACAGTAAATAATCTCCTATGTGCCCAGTACTACTTGCTTACTCTTGAAAAGAAACAAAAAGATGATTAGGAGCAGAAACACCTCTTAATAACTGTGGCAACAACAACCTCACCTCCTTCACAGAATCAGTGACCCCAAAATCATCATCATTTAAAGTTTCCTAGGACTTGGACCATGAAAGTTTTCAGGACCACAGCATCATATCTACAATCTTTTCTTCACTGCACCGCAGTAATTAACCGAAATGGCCGGCGGCCAACACCCGGAATGGCCGGCCGGTACACCATCTCCACCATGGGAGGACAGCGGCGCCACCGCGACGGCGTGAATGCGCCATGAACGAGACACACCTCCAATGATCATCTTACTACAAATCTTGGACAAGTTCTTGGGACTCACCTGAGATGATTGGGAACTTCATGGCAGGGCTTCCAGGAGCTGGAGGAGGAGGGTGGTGGTGTCGCTCCGGCGGCATTGCCGGGAAGTGGTGGCGCTGCTGCAGCTGCCGGCCGGCGGCGAGGATCTGGTGGTGGTGGTTTTGCAGGATTCGGGTGTCCTCCATGATTGTGTTGCTTAATTGGCAGAATGATTCTTCTCCTCCTCCTGTTCCAAGCAGTGTTTGGGATCCAGCTCCGGCTCCGGCTCCAGCCCACCATGGCAATGCGTGAGCGGCGGCGCCGCCATTGCCGCCACGGCCGGTGATCGCCTGAAGCCCATGGCCGTGATCTTGGAAGCTCAGAGCTGCCTGCAAGAACGGAAAATTCTTCCATGAGAGGGAAGAAAAGCTTGGAAGTTTGAAACCACAGCCCAAGAAAGCAAACTACATATGCAGAAATGGAGACAGAGAAGCCTATATCATCAAAAACACAATTTCTTGGAACTATAGCTGATGCAAGTGCAACACATGGAAGTGCAAAGAGAACACTGAAACTAATTCAGAACACCAAGCCACCTACACTTCTCATGGCTAATAATGATGATGATGCCAAGAACACAAACTCAGAGAAATCAACCAAACCAAGGTACTGATGCAGTGTGTGTGTGTGCTTAGCTCAATCTATCTGACCATCTATCTCTCTACCTCTATGTGTATATATGCAGGTAAGCTGCTGCTGAATCCAAGGCAGGAAGAGAGGAGAGGCAGCAGCTGGAGCTGGCCAATGAGAGGAAGCTTTCGTGACACAAAGAAAGCCCTTGTGGTAATTTTTCCAAAACTTCAGTAAGTAGATGTTACTACTAGTATCATTGATTATTAAAATTAATTCAATCGCCATCCGTCCTTGGATCTTCCGTGGCCAGCCACTCTGCGCAGCATTCAACACGAAACACTGTTCATGATGTACCATTGCACAACGGCTGCCCCTATAAAACATCACCAGAGCATTGATCATATGGACCCTTTCAGGTAGGCCCATTCTTCTTAATTTGCAACTAAATAAACCTGCGTAAGTTTTTGTATCGTTTGTGTGTTTTTTGGTTTGTTTTTCACATTGTGGCGCTTGGGCTAGCCATAATTTGTTGCTCAGAGGATGAAAGCCATCACAATGTCCCTGTTTTATAACTGTGTATGGATGGATAATACGTTGTTTTGACTAGTTTACCGATGTCGACACAATTTCATATGACCGTGAGTTGATTAGTCATGAACATATACCATGATTAGCTTAGGCGTCCAACATTAAACAAAAATATGTTTTCTTTTCATTCTATTTGTGTAACAAATAGATTCTCTAATTTCTACCAAACTACTACCGAAGTTCCAAAAATATATATTTTGATGCTCCAGTTTTCCTTTTCAGAAACTAAAATTACACTTGTCAGCCAACAATCCAGCCATGCCAACCAAGTAACCAACCCAAGACACACATACCCAAGATTTCCTCTAACCACAGTGATCACATACTGCACAACCTCACCAACATTATTTATTCTAGTAAGCACTACTCTGACTGAACTTTATCATCCTAACCTACTTTGCCACTTGCCAGATATAGTCAAGCTGTGAACTGGAGCAGCAACCATTGGGAACAGAACTCAGCAAAGCAAGCAAAGAAAACATGAACCTAGGAAAAAAAAAACAATGAGGACAGGCAAAGGCAGCTGTGTAACTGTCCCTAGATCTCTTCAACCTTTATGCTGTGGTAGCCAGTGTATAGTGTACTAACTGACTTCCACAACTGCTACTGGTTTCTTGGTTAAATTGCTCTTGTAGAAGCAACAGTTTTTTTCAGTTTGAGTGATGTTTTTTTTTGTCTATGCACAGAAAAGAATCAAAGGATGCCAATGACTGTCTAATCAAACTTTTTTTTCCTCTGCCATGTACTGAAGTAGGAGTACTATATTACCTGGTATACAACCGTTTATAGCAGCCTACTAGATTTCCAAACAATGCTAGTTCTAACATCCGTGGTTAATTAAAGATATTTGTGGAATTGAATCTTTGTACAGACAATGCAGTTTAAGGCTATCCCCAAATGCAGATGGCAAATGAACATTTGAGGGAACATGATTTGATTAGAGTGTGTCTCCATGATAATTATAGTGTGATTTTATAGTTTTGTCAGGTCGAACTGCATGCACTTGATTAATTAGGTGCTTATGGCTTGTTCTTTTGAAAAGTCTACATGAAAAATATCACAACTAATGTACAGTACTTAGCTGAAACATTTACACTATTTAGCCAAAAAAATTTTGTGATTGAACTTATTTAGCAGTACAAAATTAGTGACAGGTAGAAGAGACTAATGTGATCCAAAATTAGTGACTGATAGAAGACAGCGGTGGTCTAAGGCCAGTCCCAACCCAAGACACTAGACATAGTTTTCATAAACTCCACATCATTAAGAAACTAGTACTAGACACTACTCTTTCAATACAAACACCACTTTTTCATACTTAAATTTAATGCTATTTATCTCACATGATGCCTAGAATGTTATGTAGAAACCATGTCTCATGCAAGACCTGGTTTCCTTCTCTTTCCTCATTTACTCACTTGCCACATCATCTTTCATTTTAGATGGCGACACCATCCTAATCATTGGGTTGGAAATGACCTAAAACACTATCAACCAAGTTACTTATAGTAAAAGAAAGTTAACCAGATTGAAGGCAAAATCAATTTTTTTCAGCAGTGGCTAGCTTAGGGCTTAATTCTACACTGTTCCACATTTATGGCACCATATATGCCATTCCACAGTTAGCTGGCCCAGCAAATACATACTATGATATGACGTTTAACAACAAAAGTATTGGACATAAATTTTCTTTGGTGGAGGTTCATTCAGAGAGTACGTTATGAAACTTTTAAATTAGTTATGATATATGCTATTTCTTTCGTCTCAAAATATATATATTTTTAGTTCAATTTTATTTTAATATATAGCTATTCTCCATCTACCCCTCATCTTAAGCAATTACAACTATTTTCTATTTAATTTCTCTATCTATTTTCTTTCTCAAACAGTCACAAATGTTGCACCATTTAATTTCACTTACTTTCTTAATTTCTGTGAAGGGATTAGGATATATTTAGGCTCTATATATATTCGTCCGCATTCAGCATTTTAATTTGGACGTGACACCGTCTTCAATATCACCCACTTGTCCTTTCGTGTATTCATGCATTTCACCAATTTTGAGCTAAAGTTTGGTCAAAAGATTCGCTGTGTAAATTTTGGTACTCATCGATCGTTCACCTCGAAGCTTAGCACAAATTTACTGACACAAACCATCATTTTTCCCAATTATCTTGCACTGATTAAGGGAGAAGATGACCCATGCATTTACCAGAATATAGGAACCATTTTATCATCCGAGTTAGTCTTACGTTAATTATAACCAGGTTTACAATATAGTTTTATTGTATTAAAATGATGTAGCCAAGTTTGCCATGAAAATCAAACCATACAACAATTTTTTTTTCTTTCATTGCCATGTCGCACGGTAAGATTGGCGATGTTTCTTTTTGTTCTTTCAACATTTCTCCTCCCCGAAATGCTAAAAATACTTTTTGGTAATTGGCTTATGGGAGTACCTAGATCCGTTAAAAAACTGATTTTGTTTGGAACTAATGCTTTATACTGTTGAATTTGGCATTGTCGCGATGATATAGTAGTTTTCAATAACAAAAAATTGTCTAACTAATGTAGGTTATTTTCATGTCTTTTAGCTAACTGCATTCTTAATTCTTGATGCTTTCACGATAGGAGCAGGATAATGTACACAATAGAGGTAAAGTCTTAAAATCAATAGCCAAAAGTCTTTTATTTCACTTTGAATGGCGTAGTTACTGTAAAATAACATTACAGACTATATGTGTTTTCTATTCGGTATTTTAGTTAAATATTATTGGACAGGAGATGTGTGGATTTGTCTCATAACCTCGAGTCTTTTTGTTTATCTCTTTTCTTAGACTCGTTGGTCATGTGTCCTGTTGATAGAGGCAAGAGATATAAACTATTTCTATTATCTGAAAAGAAAAGGTTCATCCTAACCAAAGCTTTCACATTATTAATTTTTAAAGACTTACATCTATACTATTATAAAAATTGAAGATGTTTTTGCCGGTATTTTGGTACGTCATTCGTGTATGAGTCAGTTTTAAGTTCGTTTGCTTTTAGAAATACATATTCGTATTTGAGTCAGTTTTCAAGATTGTTCACTTTTGGTAATACAGAAGGAATCATATAAGAAATTTGTTTTTAAAAAACTCACATGCTAACTTGAGATGATCAGACTCCTAATTGCAGCTCATGATTTTCTAAAAATATATATATCCAAACGAATTCTTACAGTGAATTTCATCTTAACTAAACCATATAACAATAATAAGATTAAAATAGACTTCACCCGTTGCAACGCACGGGCATTTTTCTAGTAAAAGTATAAAACATAAAGAATTATATCTTGGAAATTTTTAGAGAGGAAGTACACCCGTAAACAAGGTTACCATAATAATATCTAGTCAGACGCATAATTGAACATGTACACCAACTAATTAATTTGATTCGCCCATAAAGATAAATGAACCCAGTAGTTATGTTAGCTGATCAACAATTCGACCAATTGCATCATATCCATTGCTTAATTGGATTGGTTTCGCCCAATGGATAAACCTCGTAAAACGGCTTAAAGCTAGCTAGCTTGTTAATTACTGTAACAAGCAATTAATATATATATATATAGTAAGTACGATCGAGCCTCGTGTACGAGATCATCGATCCCAGCTGATTAAGCAAGTTCAATAGTATAGCCAACCGCTGGCTCCAAATCATCTATAGCCCATTCATACAATAGTTACCTATAAAAATATTCTACATCATTAATATCCGGTCCTACCTCTCATACACTCATAACGTATTGGAGTCTGTGTTGCAGCCGGCTATAAATTTGTAGCCCGTTTTCTTCTCTCTCTTATTTTTTCTTCTCGATATCGATATGTGGTTATAGCTGGCTTATAGCCTGTTATTGTACCTGCTCTTATCTTAGAGACACATCTCCAAGAACAAGAGAGCTAGCCAGCTGATTTAATTTTTAATTAATTACGTACACATAGTAGTATAGGACACAATAGTGCTTAGTTCTGCTCGATCTACGCAGCCATTCAGAAACAACCGAACACACACATTCACGTGCATGTCGACCCTCTCCTTGATCATCTTTTGCTTTAGTTTTTATCTTTTGTGCTGTCACTTTTCCTGCCTTCACTTAAGCTTAGGGCTACCCACAAAAATTGCATCTTGGACAGCTTTAAAGCCTTTAATCCATTGTCACTGGGCCTTTTCAGCAGTAGTACACAATTTGGTAGATCTACCTTGATATGGTTAAATCAATCAATTAAATTCGTACTCACACAAGTTCTACAACAAAAAGGGTATATATGTGTAAGATTGGAAAGGAGATAATACCGTGGAGTACTGGACAGTGGTGAAGCCAGCTCCTATGCAAGCCAGGTGGCCGACGGGCTGGGCTCCGCCGCTACCGATTGGCATCGATTTCCGTGAAATTAAACTGATTGACCATCGATAAATGCTATTCATTTTATATTGGCACACAGACCAAAGATAAATAATTATACTTATCATCTATTTAAACATGCTACTAGTCATTCCTCGTAAACAAGCGATTTATTAATATTTACATTTTTCAATGCCTATGTAGCTAATCTTGTGTGGAAGAATAGAGAGTCATGTATTAAATTCGAGAAAGTTATTAAGATGATAAGTTGTTGGATGAAATATACCTATCAAAAATAATTTTTTCAGATTTGGAAATATGCCTATCAAAAATAAATGGAGGGAGTATTAGTCATTTGGGTTTGAAAGTGTCGTTGGCTTCTTCACCACTTATGTAAGATACAATATTAAGCCTTGTGGGTATTTATTTATACATTGTACCGGATTTAGATCGATCAGTTAAACAAGAACTTACTGTATCCTAATATCTCTTTGACTATTATATTCTCCAAACATTAAAAAAAAGCATGTACATGAAATTCATGTTGAAATTTTCTCCATCATGTTTTGTTTTAAGAAATATATATTATGATGGAACAAAATTAATTAGCACATCACGAAGTAATCAGCTCTCAATTGATTCGGTTCCTGGTGGTGGAACCTATCTAGCCGGATTCAAGTCCTAATCCTAGACTTGGTATAGGTGCGCGCGCATTTACGACTAATTATTCTTTCAGTGGTAGCTAGACAACGTATCTATCAACGACGAGATGCCCATTGTAACTTTGTGAATCTTAAGATGCCAACCTAGTTTTTGGATGTGTTCATAAGGATATATAGGGTATGCATGTGTGTATTCATAGATTGAGCGTGCACACGTTTATAAGAGCGCAACGTGTTTCAAAAATAATAATAATAAGCACATCAACTAAGGAGGAAGCTCAATTAATTTCTAGCTTTTGTTAGGGATTACACGATCAGTTGATGTATATATATGATATCTCTCTGGTCTTGAAAACATGATGCTTTGAAATTTGAAAATCAATATATACAAACGACTTAATTTCTGTTGCAATAGAGGTACATAACCGGAATAAATTAATTATAATACTATAAAATCATTTTAATCTAGACACATATGATTCACATTTATCCAACGTCAATATATCTTTAAAAAATATCAATGCGACTCCAAAATTACAAGCTTGAGAAGTATACATATAGGTTGAAAATGGTTGGAGCTATTTCTCATTCTATAGTAGTCGATCTACAGCACTAGTTTTGATTAGATATGATATACACCTTCTTCCTAAGACGATATAATTGTAGCATTGATTTAGTACATAGGGTTCCATCGATCGACAGTATTGTTGGGTACAGAGGCCACTATCATAAATTAATTTCTTAATTTGTTTTGCTAATTAAGGGCCGCAAAATATACAAGGGTCGACTAGTCAGCTAGTACCGTCTAGCTGTTGCAGTCACACGCTCAATCGGATCACATTTTCAATGGAAACAATAAGTAAATATTATCAAAGTAAGGTAGTAATTAAATTGTTA